CTCCCTGTAGGCATACTGAGCCGGAGACAGCGGATGTACTAGCAAAGGGCCGTTTTTCAGATATCTATCGACCAGTCTCTCTAGTGTCTTCAGTACAAAGGAGGTGAGACTGATCGGTCTGAAGTCTTTGGCTGTTATATGGTCATTTCTACCAGGCTCGGATATAAAGACTACTCTTGTACCACTCCAAGCCTGGGGGACGTGTCTTAGGGCTATGCTAGCCCTGAAGATTTTTGTGAGTGGACCTGTGAGAACCCCCAGCCCCTCTTGAAGAAGAACCGGGTAGATTCCATCCGGTCCAGGTGATTTATAGGGAGAGAAGGTCTTAACAGCCCATTCAACTCCCTTTGGAAGAACAACCTCAGCTGCCAGACGCCAGTCTCTGGGTTTGTATTCCCTATGCTTCGGCCGGCAGGATTGTATGTTATGATCGAAACCTGGGAAGTGGACTTCCATTAAATGTTTCAATGTGTCCGTTGCCTCCTCAGTGACATTCCCCGTTGGGAGCTTGAGACAGCCTAATTGGGGACGGTGATCCAAACTGAGGATTCTGTGAAGCCTGGATTTCTCCGGGGCGCTCTCAATGCTTTTACAAAAACGTCTCCAGCTTTTGCACTTTGATTTCTTAATCTCCTTGCTGTACTCTCGTTGGGAGCTTCTAAAGGCCTCCCAGTGTACTGCAAGTCCTGTTCTTTTCGCCTTGCTGAATTTCTTTCTCGTTTCCAACCTGAACTTACCGAGCTCTTTATTCCACTAGTGGATCTTGTTCACCGGATTCCTAGGTTTTGGTGAGCAGTTTAATTCAAAGACGTTTGTAATGGCGTTCTTTAAAAAGTCCGCCGCGTTTTTCAAGTTGTTTTTGGTTCTGAAACTGGGTGGGACCGCAGCAAGCTGGGCCTTAAGGTCAACCCTAAAGCTCTCCCAGTTGGTTTTTTGTGGGTTGCGAACCCAGCTGATTTGCGGTATTTGTTGAAGAGATAGTCGTATATGTCTGTGGTCCGACCCAGAGAGCTCATTCGATACCCTCCAGTCCCTCACCAAACTTGCCACTCTCTCTGTACATACCATAATATCGATGACTTCCTGTCTTCTGGAGTCCAGGAATGTCGGCTCGTTTCCTCTGTTGAGAATGGTTAATCCTGTGCCCATTATGTAGTCGTGCAGACTCTCCCCCCGCAGGTTGGTGTCTGTGCTTCCCCATCCTACATGGTGGGAGTTCGCATTGCAACCTAGCAGGAGTTCGAGCCCTCTGGCTTCCGCATAGGCCACCAGGTTTTTTACCTCTTCATATGGTGGTGGATCCGTGGAGTCATAGGGCATATAAACTGACCCTATTAATACTTCCATGTTCTCTTCCTCGGCCAGCTTAACTCTCACCTTGACGACTGTGAGATTCTTGCTGCTGAACTGTGGCAGAAAGAGCATTTAGTCCTTTTACTAAAATGCATGATCTTACTCTTTTTTCTGAGTGTGCTTTATATAAACAGCCGCACCCACTCAGTCCCTTTACTGCACCATTCACAATCCATGGTTCTTGGATTAGTGCAATACTTGTATGCATCACAGCCATGCTCCTGGCTAGGATAGCCGAGACGCTCTTGCTGTGATGCAAGTTAATCTGCGTCATTTGGATGCCGAGAGAAGCCATTTTTAGGCAGTCCCGACACTCTCCGACTCCATCTCCTTCTCCGTCGCCTCTCCGCGCTCTCGTCCCGCCATCTTAACGGTGGCCCGGCCGAGACCGAAGAAAGGCCTGAAGTGCTTCAAGGCTTTCATCGCCGAGTCGCCAACCAGACAGGAGAAGTGGGCGCTCGTAGCATCCTTCCTATACGTCCTTCTGGTGACGACCCAATCACTGGTTGCCAGCCCTGTGTTTTGCTAGTTGAGGAGCTTTAAAGCCTCCTCAACCCCTACTTCAGGCTCCTCCACATGCACTACCACCCGATGACGCTTGGGTAGCTCACCAACCGGCAGCACACGCAGAGGAGTTCCCCTGACTTTTAAATCGGAGGAATGGACCTTAAGCCACTCCGCCGACTTTTTGTTGGCGCACATACCAATGAGTGCGCCATGATAGACCTGATCAGTTTTCTGATCTCAACCACCTCACCGGCTCCCATTTTCTTGTCAGGGTAGCTCTCCAGTACGAGGGCCATCCTGACAAGACCTTTTGTCGCCTGTGCATACGACCCTTCATTTTTGGGTCTCTTGCCCTGGCGATTTTCTGAGGGGCTGGGAGTAGCGTGCTCCGGCCTGGCGCGTTTTGCCGCGCCACTCGAAGCCCGCCCACCCCCAGCTCCACCTTTTGGGCAAGAGGCTGCGGGGGTAGAGGGGACCTTATTGGCCCCACTCTCCCCGGCTAGCATCTGTTTATTATAACGGCGCCTAGCGGCCCCGCTATATCTTAGGCGGTATTTTGGGGCTTCTGAGCCCGCTTCCGCACTGCAAGATTCCCCTGGGCGTTTACCTCCAGAGGAGGCTTCGCTCTTGGGGACTGATTTGGGAATGATTTTATTTGCGTTTATTTGCATTGATGTTCCCACGAGTATCGCGGTCGCGCGGTCTCACCCAGCCAGAGCCGCGAATGGCTGGAGCTTGGCTCCGTACTCCTGGATTTCGCCCGGTATCCAGGAGACACCGTTCACGACGCAACTCCCCTTGCGCCACGCAGCTCTCGGCACGGTCGCTCACATCTTAACTTGGGGGGTTCCTCTTAGTTGGTCGCAGACGGGCCCACCCCTGAGCGGGTGACCACCCGCGACCTTAAGCCCCGCCACCCGCTCCGGCGCGGGAGCCCAAAGCCCCCGAGGACACCGGATGCTCACCTTCTGTGGTCCATCTTCTAGTTGTTCCGTCAGATTACACTTCTATTGTGGCGATATGACCAGACAGATCCGCCAGCAGAAGCTGGCGATCAATGCCCGGCCACACCATCACCAGCACACGCTGGGAACAAAATAAACGTTCCGTGTAGTTACTGCGAGGCGGTCAGACCACGTGAACACCAAGCACCCCGCGAGCCCCGAGCTTCCGCCTCGGAGCTACTACAAGGTGGGAACCCATTCGGGGGGAAGGATTTCATAAACTCAATAATAATTTAAGAATTGATATTTAATTCAAAAAAAAACTTGCGTGTAAAAATTTACACGCGAACAAATATATATATGCATATATATATATATATATATGTACGCAGTTTTCCGCACAACATCCTGCGATCGGCTCGGATGACCGTAATTATATTTCTTAGTTTAGTAACTTATCGAGCTTCAATAAGATTTAATTGTTAAAATTTACGCTGGTCTAAATAAGCGTTTAGGACTATCGGTTTATTCTTTGATAGATGTATAGAGTATTGCGAGACATGCTCCAAGTGCCTCGGTAGTCTAACAGGGAAGGCGACGACCCGGAAAGCCGGAGATTCCAAGTTCGACTCCTGGCTGAGGAGTATTTTTTCGCAATATTTTCAAAATTAGTTAGGGGGGTAGATGGGATCTCTTATATATGTGATGCAAATCCAGCATCCAATATGAATTTAAGAATTGATATTCAATTCAAAAAAAAACTCGCGTGTAAAAATTTACAAGTGGAATTCGTTACATGTGTATATACAGGGTGTCCCAGAATTGCCGTACAATCTCTCGTAGGCAGGTAGAAGGAGTAAAACTAAGTCGAAAAGTCCTGAATCATTTTTTTCTATTATTTATAATAAAAGAGTAATTATTGAATAAATCAGGCCAATCAGCGCAGACCTTTAGCCAGGCGCACGTCAGTGAGCCGCGCGCCTGGTGTGTGTGAGCGCTCACTGACGTGCGCCTGGCTAAAGNTCNGCGCTGATTGGCCTGATTTACTCAATAATTACTCNTTTATTATAAATAATAGAAAAAAATGGTTCAGGACTTTTCGACTCAGTTTTACTCCTTCTATCTGCCTACGAGACATTGTACGGCAATTCTGGGACACCCTGTATATATATGTACGCAGTTTTCCGCACAACATCCTGCGATCGGCTCGGATGACCGTAATTATATTTCAATAATAAATAAATCGACACTAAAGACTTTTTAAAATTTAAATCGGTTACTCACGTCGGCAGGACACCGATAGCCAAGATTTCTTTTGCACAGACCCCGATTGTCCATAGTCGTCATTGCACAGAATGACGTAGTTGACTAAGATTTTATTTGTCCAGAGTGACTATTGCACAGATCCAGAAATGTTTGCACAGAAATCATACTCTTTTTATGTTTTTTTTGTTTGTGTTGCAAGCGTATAAGCAGGAGAAGGTTGCGCACCTCCCCACAAGGGGGGCTTCGCCATTCCCCCTGCACTCCTCTTTGCTTTGCGTGGAAAGTTATAAACTTATGTGGATCTTGCTTTAGTTTTAGCTATCTTTTGCTGTAGCCAAATTTTTATGAATTTACAACTTTTCACGTGCACTAATATTCTGTGCTATATGTAGCCAACTATGAGGTCTGTCCAATGTAGTTTATGTATGAACGGGATTTGTGCAATATAATTTCTGTACAAACAGGATTCTGGACAATCGGGATCTGTGCAAAAATTTTTTGTGAAAACAGGATCTAGGCAAACGGAACCTGTGCAACTATCGATCTGCGCAAAAGAAATCTTGGCTATCGGGATCCTCCCACTCATATTACATACTACGCTTTTATTAAAAAAACCACTATACAAAATATCAGATTATGCGACTTGACTTAAAAAAGTTAATATCTTCTGTTGTCGTATCGATGCTTTCAGTTCATCAAAAACAATCTATGAACATTGTCTCGTTATTTGTATCAATCACGTGCTCACTGTGAAAAACCGGTTTTATTTCTCGTTGCATTCAAGCAAGCGTTACCGACGCAACCGAAGCATCGCAGACAATATTATCACGTAAATCCTCGTTTCCGTAGTTATACGTTATCGCTGCGGTCACTCGAGAACTATGAAGAGAAATGGTAAGACAAAGTCAAGTAGATTTCAGTAAATTTCAGAACTAGACGAATCAACAGGCCGACGATGTGTCAATTTATTCTCACGTTTTTGTGCTATGTGCTTCTACTCGCCGCTACTTTCTTCTTTGAGCCTTCGCAGAGTCTTCAAGAAAATTCCACAGTCGAAGATGAACAAATCAGCGGTTCAACAGTGCAATACGAATTTCACAGATCTTACTTTATAGACTCTATAAAGAATAACGGCAAGAATGACTCAAATCGACATGAAATTCACGTGCATTCTATTAAACATTCTAAAGAAGATAAACTGATGGAGCTTCACTTAGATCCCACAAAAGATGACGAAAGAAACAACTCCGTGTCACGTGAATTTCGTAAAAATATAACAGTGACCGAAGTCAAAAACGTGACTAATTCCGCGAAGAACAATTATGAAAGGAATAATTCGATGTTACGTACAATTCACAGACAGTCCATGAACTATTCCGAAGATGACAAACCAATAGAATTTTATCAAAATTTTTTTTATCTGAATTTCACAAAAGTCAATGAAAAAAATAACTCTATGTCGTATGAAATTCATGCCAATTCCAGCAAAAACGATGATAAAATCAACTTTGTACCGTATGACGAGACATGTGATGACGACGACACTTGTATTTCACTATGCTGTCCTTTTGGTTACCTCCTAATAGGAGTGAAATGCGTCATCGGAGAGGGTAATTATCCTTTACCGGATGTATATGACGCCTATCTCGCTTACACGCACGGAACTAGCAATCTTACAAACAATAAGAACAAAACAATAGATCAGGCGTTCAAGCTGGTCGTGCATGATCCGTGTCCAGGTATTCCGCGTTTCCGGCTCGATCCCGAGCAGTATCCGGACGACAAATACAGGTTTTTATTCAACGGTTCTCTGTATCAGCCAAATCTGGACAAATTTGTCGAAGCTTATTGCGTTGCTCTTCTACCGGATCGGAATCAATATGACGTGACCGTCTGTTTTCCGAACAATACTGAACCTGTATCACAATCTTACTTGTATCCCGTGGGCCTTATAATATCCCTGCCATTTCTGCTGACAACGTTTGTGGTCTACTCTATCATACCAGAGCTTCGTAATATGCACGGCTACACTTTGCGTGGATATGTCGGTTCGTTGTTCGTCGCATACACCGTCCTCTCTCTGCTGCAGCTAATTCCGCCGATTGATATGGAGGATTTCATCTGCATCACACTGGGTATATATATATATATATATATATATATATATATATATGTATATATA